TGTCTTACCAATATCACATTTCTATCTTTATTATGTATAATTGGAAAGAAATAATCATCTTCACATTCATTATTCTTAATTAAAGAAATAGTTTTATTTGAATTCTATTTAAAAACTCCATTTTATAATTCAAATACCAAAATATCATCCTTTGATTTAGTTACCCAAAGAAATAATTAATCATTAATAAAATGGATTTTATATCCATATAATGAAACATTCTGTTTATATTTAAATTCCCATTTTCCTTACAATCCTTTCTCCCATATTATGAATTCTCCATAACCACATGATGCCAATACAGTTTCAGATTAATTAAAACTCAGTGACTCTACGCTATTGGTATGTTAATCTAAGGAATACAGAAAAGTCAGATGATTCTTAATAAAATCTAGTTTCCATACTATTATCTTATGATCAACACCTCCTGAAATAAGTTGATCTTCTTATTTATTTAATAATAAACAATTAACACTCTTAGTGTGTTACTCGAATGGTTATGAACACTTCCACTCATTTTGATTAATTTATTACCAACATATAATTTAGTGATACATGCAACCAGAAATAAAGTTATTTGTTTATTTGCTATACACTAAACATTATACAGGATTTCTATGTTTATTATAAGTATTAGATAATTTAAATCTTCCTTATTCAAATTTCCATATTTTAATCCCACAACTATCACATGAAATCATAATTGATCCATCTTTATTGAACACTATTGCATAACACCAACTACTCTATTAATTTGAATCATCAATTAAATTAAATTGAACTTATTTATACTTCATCAATTATTATTCTAATTACTTCTATTCATTGCCAACTTAGTTCATCTCCTTTTAACCCTAAATAATAACTTCATACTTTACTTCACTATTGGATTCTTTAATTTCTCCACTTTAAGAATCATTTTCAGCTATTTTTGGTATTTTTATTTCAATTTCATTTTTGATGAACTTATTTACCAAAGGTTTCACACTCTCAAGGATTTTTTATGAATAGTCAGTAAAATCGATATGGAATTAAATAAATTAAGGTAATTCAAGTAGTGATTCATTTTTGTGATTCATACTTTCAAAGGATGTATAAACAATTTAGTCAACTAATTCATCTATTCTAGCGAAGGAAGACTTGAATATAATGGAATGGGAAAATTACTTCTTATTGTAGTTCTATTTCCATAAAATATTCTTCAACTTTAGACATTGTGTATTCGATGATGTTTGATTATTATGATTAGAGAGCCTGCATTTTTATATGATATTTTAATTAACATATCTAAAACTTAGACTTCAGCTTAAGATGTGAAAATTATATTTAAATAAATTAACAAAGCCCTAATTTTATTTTAATTATCAAAGCTGATTAGATTCAGATCCAATTTCTTTGTATGGGCAAAATTTCTTTTTAAAACAGATAATTATCATCCTTTCTCGAAATTCTATATTAAACATAATTAAAATTTTTTAAGGAACAATATGAAATATTGACTTAAAGCTGAGATGCCTATATCATTTAAAACTGGAAATTATAATATTTAGTTATCAATCACAATAATAAATAAATATAAAGCTTGTATAACTTGAGGTGTATTCCATTTAAATCAATTATAATCTTAATATACGGAGGGATATGATTAGAGAGCCTGCATTTTTATATGATATTTTAATTAACATATCTAAAACTTAGACTTCAGCTTAAGATGTGAAAATTATGTTTAAAAAAATTAACAAAGCCCTAATTTTATTTTAATTATCAAAGCTGATTAGATTCAGATCCAATTTCTTTGTATGGGCAAAATTTCTTTTTAAAACAGATAATTATCATCCTTTCTCGAAATTCTATATTAAACATAATTAAAATTTTTTAAGGAACAATATGAAATATTGACTTAAAGCTTGGAGTTTTAAAGCTGATCTAAAGAAAAAGAAAACCGCTCCTTTATTAAATTGAGATGCCTATATCATTTAAAACTGGAAATTATAATATTTAGTTATCAATCACAATAATAAATAAATATAAAGCTTGTATAACTTGAGGTGTATTCCATTTAAATCAATTATAATCTTAATATACGGAGGCATAATACATGATACAAGAGACTATTTGGGGCAGAAGTATAATTTATACTCTGTAATAAATAAAGATTTGATAAATATTGATATTTTGCTTTTCACAAATTACTGTAATATAGATTCCATAAAAACAAGTAAATAGGTTGCATATTTACAGTGATATAAATTTTAATCCAAAAAATACTATTAGGACTTAAAGGGAGTCAGAATGCAACGATTAAAAGCCTAAAGATAATACTAAAAAAGAATTTAAATCGATATTATCAAAAACATAAAGAAGTTGTAAGTATTAGACCATTTTTATGATAAATGTTAGACAATACTTTTATTGTTTCAAGAGTTACAACCTATATATAAGATATCTCAAAAAATATTGTATATTATCATAACTCGATTGCTTAAAACTCTGGCAAATTCAATCATCGTTAGGTACCAAAATAATTAATTAAATTGCTGGAACATCAGGGCCTAGGATGAAAATTGTCAAAGCCCAAATATCGTAGAGAAATATAACCCCGTCTCATAGGATTAGAAATGAAGAAAAAACAAAACCGAAGAAAATGCCTCTTTTAATGAGTGATCTCAAAAATAATCATAAAAGAAGTTCTCTTTATCACTACATTTAGTTAAAAAGAAATTTTAATCACTATTGGTGATCATTAAATTTTTTCACTCATATATCTGATTATCTTTAAGGTAATCTTGTAATTGCTGATTATACTTCATAGTTTAAGTTATAATTTAATTTAAAAAATATGTTTAACCTATTGGGTCAATATTTACAATTTTTAAGGAATGATGTTTAAGCATTTTCTATTAGCCGAGTCTTAAATTGTTTAAGTAAGGGTTTTGATTTGCTCTCCTTCTTAATTTTCCTCTTCCATTTCTAAAGAAGGAATCTAACTGTATATATTTATTCATGTTAATTCTAAAATTCCAATAATTTAGATCGATTTTTTTTGGAACAGGATTTATGACTTTATAATAAAAAGAAGTTTAAGTCGATCAATAATTTTTTTAATACTAAATAATATCTTGTCTAATAAATGCTGCTGTTGGATCAATTGATTCGGCTTACTTTGCTATTATCTTTAAAGATATTACTCTTAAAAGTGAAGTTCTATAAGTACTGCAGATTATCTATTCAAAATGATGGCGAATAAAATATTTAGAATCAAATAAACAGAAGTAAAATCTGGACAAATTATAGAATATATTACATCGTCTAAAATTTTGGAATATATTTAAGAATAAAATCAATATAAACCTGGGAGTTTATATTATCATCATCCTCCTGATAAAATTGGCCTATTGATGATTTGTTAAAGTAGCACCAAATCAATTTTTAGTTTCAAATCAAAAACTAGATAACTTATCAATTATTTCACTTTTAGAATTAAAGTAACACAGTATTTTATTTTAGGATGATCCAAGAATTCAATATACCTTCTGGAAGTTAAAGATAAGGAAGATTTTTAAGTGATCAATGAATTCAGTAGAAGGTTAAAAATATCTGTTAATGAAGAAAGATGTTGCAAGAGAGATTAAAATAGAAAGAAAATTAACTAAGTTGAATAGGTTAAAAATTAATACAAATTTTATCAGATAATCAAATTCAAGAGAAGCATCATTACTAATAACAATGAATAATAAGAATAATTTGAAGATTAAATAAAATGTATAAGTGTCTAATTTATATTTTATAAATCAGAAACAAACTATTAGAGTATTAATTTTTGATAAAATATTGATCTTATTTCTTAATACATAAAAAGTATTAAAAATCCAATACTTTCATTTTAAATTACTCGAGATTAAACCTTTGATAATTCAATATTTTAGTTGAAGCTATAATATGTTAGTTCATCAAATTAAAGCAAGGAATGGTTAAGAGTTAAGGGTTAGTATTAGGAAAAAGAATATAAAGAAAATAGAGTAAAATATTAAAAGATTCAAGATATTGAGTTAAATTAAATCTAATAAATGTTGGACTCATACAATATTTAGTACAAATGGAAAGTGGGCTAAATATAAGATTTTAATTCAGGTTAACAGTAAATCTTAAGTAGGACTAGAAAAGAGAATGTTTTTAAATATATAATTTGTTGTAATTAATAAGTTATGGATATATACATAAACATACTCTCTTGAGAAATGGGGATTAATGTCTAAACTATATACTATTAAGAGTATCACATGACACTTAATAAATAAATAGAAATGGATGCAAATATTGCAAGTAATTCATAAATCAAGTAAATTAGGAATTTGAATAGAAAGACTGATAAAATAAGCGAAGTAAAACAAGGAATAGTACTCAAAATTGTCAAATGTTAATAATGAAACCTAGTAATCTTAGATTTCTCAGATGTCCTTTTAACTGGGTGAGTTGGAATATGTTAGGTTAACAATCGATTTGGGGTAAGTTATGAGGATCTTAATATTAGTTTAGAATTTTAATCTAGCAAAGTTGAGGTTGTCATTCTAATAATAAAAGTGTAGAATTTGAAACATTTAATAGAGGACTTAATAGACTGGTTAAGCGGCTGATAGGTAAAGAATGAAATTTAATCCTAAACTCCCTTGTATAATGAGTAAGATTAAGTTATTCGAATCCTGAATTGCTTCACTTTAAGTTGCATGTTGGAATTTACACGCTGAAACTCAGGAGAGAATACTCGACTTTATATATTGATGTTAAGAGGATAAAATGCGGAGAGATCAGCATACTTTAATACTACATACATTTGAGTTTAAAGCTTGAAATTATGAAAGGCTGATATAAATATAAGTTTTGAGCAAGTTGGAATGGGAAGTAATTTTATTAATTTAAATTATTATAGATTGAGAGAAATCTAAAGATTAATTTAGAGGGGAATTAATTTATAATCATTTTGGTAATCTTTGCCTTCTAATTTGCAATACGCATTTTGATATTTTTGCTATGCTTAGTTTAACCCTAATCTTGGGAAATGGTTTTTGACCAATTGAGAATTCAATATTTATAAAGAATAGTAAGACTAGGTCTAATGATTAAGGAATAATTTACTTCTACTGATGAGCTAATTGCTTTGTATTTTAGAAATTAATTATCTGCTTCAAACCATAATCTTATATACTACTGATATTGCTAGAACAATTAACAAGGTAAACGACTTTTTAATAATTTTGAAAGATGATGCAAGAGATACTTAATTAATTGTTAAAAAATGTGTTTAAAAATTACTATATGCAAGATCTTTGAAACTTGGAATAAAAGGGAGTACATTTGGCAAATAATATGAGAGATCCTATTTATTTTTTTAAATACACTATGAAATTTTCATTTATAAGTTGTCCTGCACTAAAGTCTACTGATCTAAATTTCGCCTCAGATGCTTGGTAAAATACATACATTTTTGTTATTCTATGTTTTGGGTATTTATATCCAACTAGTTTAAAATTATATACATGCACTAACCACTGAATCTAAATTAAAATAATCTTTATCAGGAGTTAATTCATATTATTGTGAATTCAAAGTTGTATTCTTATCTGTGAGAATGAATTCGAAATGATCCTAACTTCTAATAATTTAATTCAATTAGATGATCATCAAAC